GACTTTTTCCTCTACTCCCCCACCCTTCAATCTACTTTCCAATTCCTTTTTTCCCCTTTCCTTAGCCTGCTTGCTAGATTTCCTCATCACATTGCTTGGTTCTGGGTGAGACACCATAGTAGGTGGTGCCTGCTGCTTTATGTTTTCATGGTTCTAATTTGCCAGGTCCTTCTTGGGGTCCTGACCACTGCTAGCATTTCTACTAGGATTTCTGATGGGGTTTCTGCTGTTAATTCTAGCTCTGTTACCCCCAGGTTCTCTTCTCTCATTGCTTCTTCCTCTTCCTTGAAATGTTTTTCCCCCACTTGTTATTCCTGCATTTCCACTCAAAATACCTCTGCACATTTCTGCAGTGTGACCTTGTTTAAAGCAGTTGGAGCAATAATAGGATACTCTTTCATACTCAAGTTTCTGAATGTAACCTACATCCTCCTTGTCAGGGCTCTTGGAGAAACCTATAAAGATCTCATTCACTAGAGGTCTCAATAGGTCTATTTCAAGTTTTACCCTGGCATAGCTAGGCCTAGTGAAGTTCACAGTTGCATAGTCTACAGCTAGGAACTTCCCTGCTGGTTTATAAATTTGTTTCAAAGCAAATAGGTTAAACAAGTTTGCACTCAACATTGGAAGCCTAACCCACACAGGAGCTAGGCTTGATTCTTTTTGGTGGAGAAACCAAGAGCCCACCTAAATAGCCTCATTGAATATCTCCCATCAAACAAAATTTGATCCATCATCAGAATTTTGATGCAATCTTCTTCTTGAGAAAAAGCAAGGGTCACATGTCTAGGATCAAGCCATCCTATTACCAGTGACCCTTTTAGAATGATTTTTGCATCAAAATATTTCCTAAGTTCTTCCATAGTAGGCCTGACCCTTGAGAACTTTCCAATTAAGAGATGATCTTCAATCACATTCAGTTTTTTCACTTCATCTTCCTCCAGCCTGATGGCTAGCAGGCCTCTATGCATTTCAAAATCTTTCTCACAAACCACAGCCTGGGGGAGACCTGCAAGCACGCTACCTCCTGGTCTACTAGTATCATTAGTGAACAAGGTGGCATAGCTTTGCATTCTCTGACCCCCATTATTACCCCCAACTTGGGCAGTACCTGGACCATGGATGCTATTTTTAGCAATTCCCCACCCCCCCCCCCCCCCCCCCCCCCCCCCCCCCCCCAAATTAACATTTTGTTTCTTAGCAGCATTGATATTGGTAGCATTAGGGACCTCCTTTGTGATATCAGCCTTATAGGCATTTAATTTACACAAACAGGTTTTGTGCCATCAATATCATTGCCTTCAGAGTTTGTCATTGAGACATTTTTACAAACAGATTGCATACCTGTGCCAATTTCTTCAGGTGGTTTGCACCATGGAGGTTCTGGGAAATCCTCCTTCTGCAGATTAGATTTTTCTCCATCATTGGCCAATTTTGGCTCCTTCTGATCACCAACAGCAAATGGAACTCCATCCTCCTGTCTCTCCGATCTTGGAGAGATATAGAAATCCCTCTCCTCCACCGGTTTCATAACTTCAACAGATGGTTTTTCCCCTTCTTTACCACCAATTTTCTCATTCCTAACTGAGAGCCCCTTTTCATCCTTTTCTGGGGCTTTCAATTCTTCCCACAATTCTTTTTCAAATTCCATTTCTAGACGATTGCTCACAGCAGTCTCAGCTTTCTTTCGGATGGCCTTTCTAACGTCTTGTAACATATAGCGAGTTAGTAGACCTTCCATAGAGCCTTCTCCCTTCTCAGGTTTCTCTAGCAATTCCTCCCAAACAGATCCGTCAATGTGCATCTCTAAGCTTCCAATTCTGATTTTGACTTTTTCGGAGCTCGATTCTGATAGCAATGCAGGGGAACTAGTCCTTGACTCACTTCAAATCAATTTCCAAGTCTCCCACCTTCATTGACTCCTCCGGTAGTTTATGGAGAATTTCTTAGTGAATTTTGCGATTGGAATCTTCTCGCACAGTTACATACGATATTGGCAATTTCACAAGGCCATCACAATGCTCCAAATTCGCTGAGATTTGTGAATTTCCTTTCGGATTCAGACTTCTACTCCCGTGTCTCAACTGATCAGCGCTATCGCCCCCAATTTCTGAGCATTTTTGCGAATTCTCCTTCCGCAAACCTAGACTTCCTTTCGCATTTGTTCAAATTTCCTACTTCGGGTTTGCACGATCAGGCAGTTTGCATGGAGTCTCCACCTTGCTGTGAGCATTTTGATGTATAGAACCTTTTTCCGGCGACGTAACCGCCGCCGGACCACCGCCGGTGGTGCAGGTTGCGTCACCCTCTTATCCATCGGCCATGTGTATATTTAAATCAGTAATTCAATGTATATAAGTGCAATATGATATATGAGAGATTAATTAATTGTCACTAAAATAAATGTTTGCAACTTTGTAATAACGTCAGCTAAATACTTTGTCTAAAAATGATATTCTAAACAAATACTAATTTCAGTTTAAATTTCTCTACGTTTTCTTAATTATCTTTTGAGTAGTATTGTCATTGTTTTCATCTTCAGTACTTGTCATCTTTTTTTTTAATTGATAGTGTGTCATGTGCAATTGGGTTACTGGTTGGTGGTAGCATAGAGGGCAGCGTCATGTAATGAGATTATGGTGTAGGAACTTTTAGATTTACCTTGGTGTGTATATAATTGGGATCTTAGTTATATTATGAACTCTTTATCTTACAAGCGTCTGTTGATTTTAGGCAGTGACAGTTTTTTCCCCTACATGTTTGATGTGTTGTGAGATGTGTGGCGTAGATTATCATTTGAAAATATTGAACAAAATATAAATATTTATTATATTTGTATAAGATACTTGGTAAATAAATATATAACATATTTTTTAGTATAACTTTGATATTTAATTTAAGGTAAAAAGAAGACAATGGACAATGTAGTGAATATCATTAATTAATGAATTTGAAGGTAAAAAATATTTGAATTTGTTTTTTTTTTAAATGAAAAAAAAAAAAAAAAAAAAAAAAAAAAAAAAAAAAAAAACTTAACCTAAATTTTCTTTTTAAAAAATGCAAGAAAAAAGATTTTCAAGGTTCCTAATTTGTGATTCTTGATGCTCAACCTTGAATGTTATTTATTTAGTCGGGTTAATTATTTGACCAAATTTTATGTTAAATTTTATATTGAATTTTTAATACATTTTAACATATTTGTAGTGTATGTTTAACAAGTATGTCAACTCTGATTGAGATGAACAACCTTTTTTATAGAAATTAATGAGTAAGTTAAGAGTAATAAATAGATAACGGAATATTTCGTTACTAAAGTTTATACCAACGGAATGCATGGTTATTTAAGGGAAGAAAATAATATAATAGTGGGTTAATAAGGAAAATCATAAAAAAAAATAATAAAATCAAAAGAAATAAGAGTCATATATGTCACTCAAGTGTACACCAAATTGTAATTAGGTTATTGAACTCAACAAAAATGTAATTAGGTCCCTAAACAACACAAATTCATTCAATTAGATCCAAAATGGCCTGTTTACCTGAAACATTGTTGACGTGGTGGTTGTCGGTTTTTTTTTAAAAATAATTTTAAATAAAATAATTAATTAAAATTTAAAAAAAAAAATAGAACGGCCGGAGACGAAGACCTTTGATGGAGACAAAGTCAGCCGAACACGATTCTGGTTTTTTTTTTAATTACTTTTTTATTTAAAATTATTTTTAAAATCTGTTACCTCCACGTCAGCTAAGTTCCAAGTAAATAGGTCATTTTGGGCCTAATTGCATGAATTTGTGTTGTTAAGGGACCTAATTGCATTTTTTGAGTTCGATGACCTAATTGCAATCAAAATAATATGAACCATTAATTTCAACAAACAATTACACCAATATTTTTTGTTTAGGGGCCTAACTTTATTGGCTATTATTAGTTTGGAGATGTAGATATAGATATTATTTATGTTAGTTTCGCTAATTAATAATTGCGTTCTATCATCTATACATGCATCTTTACTACTGATGGATTAATATTTTTATTTGGTAAAACAAGCTAAGACGGATCTGCACTGTGCATTTCAATTTATTTGTCATAAATATTACTCCGTAATTCCTTTTAGAAATTAGAAAAATTACATTTTTTGTCTATAAGTTATAAAATAATTGTAGAATTAGTCACTAAATATTGGTCATACTTACTTTTCGTCCCTAAGTTATAATTGACGTTACACATGTTGTCCCTTTACTAATAAAACATTAGGGACAAAATTGTAATTTTAGTATAACTTAGGGACAAAAAGTGTCAATTATAATTTATGGACGAAAAGTGAGCATGATCAACACTCAGGGATGAATTTTACAATTATCCTATAACTTAGGGACGAAAAATGCAATTTTCTCTAGAAATTATAACTGTGGATTGATTATTATATCCGTTGATTAAAAAAAAATTACTATTAAGAGTTGTTTACCTCAAACAATGGAATCATGAGCGACTAAATATACATGTTTAGGGTGTGTTTGATTCAAAATCATAATTATTGTTTGGTTGACAATTTTTTAAAATGGGATTTGACTATCCATTAATTAAAAACTCATTTCCTAATTAAAAATGGGTATCATTTCATTTTATCCCTCGTCGTCTGTCGCCTCCCGATCTATCGTTTCCTCCCTGTATCCATAAGATTTTTTATTTTATTTTTGTTCATATTGATGCTTTGGATGTCATTATATTATGATCAATTGTCTTGATTTTTGTTTTTGTATTTTTAAAACATTTTCCCATTATAGGGTCATACATAACCAAAAATCAACATTATTAATTATTCCAATTTCACCCTATTACCAAAAATACTTTTACCAAAATCCATTATCATTACCAAAGTATTTAATTCACATTCCGACTCATATTTCCATGTGTAAACCAAACACACCCTTAGTTTTGTGTTTTCCACCTATATTTTCTTTAATGATTTAGATTGACATTCATTCGAAATATGTGATAGGTATGAATCAAAGTTCATCAAAAAAATTACTGAAGAGGTACTACGGGAAGTGAATCGAACAAGCATGAATGTTGCAAAGTATCCTATTGGAATTGAATTTCGTGTTAGAGATATATTTCATTTATTGCAAACTCAAAGAAATGATTGTGCCAAGATGTTTGGAATTTTTGGCATGGGTGGCGTCGGAAAAACAACCCTTGCTAAAGCCATTTACAACTTGAGTTTTCAAAAGTTTGAAGGTTGTTGCTTTATTGCAAACATTAGATCACAAGTTTCTAAAGGGTACAATGGATTAGTTCGTTTACAAGAGAAACTTCTTCGCAAAACACTCAACAGAAAGAAACTAAAAATAGATAATGTTGATGAAGGAATAAGTTTGATTAAAGAAAGACTGCGATCAAAAAGTGTTCTTATTGTTCTTGATGACATAGACGATACTAGTCAATTAGAATCATTAGCAGGACAACGGAATTGGTTTGGTTCAGGGAGCACAATTATCATAACAACTAGAGATGTTCAGTTGTTGAGTGACCTAGAAGCACATGAGAAGTACATGGTAGAAACGTTAAGCCCTGATGAATCCTTGCAACTCTTGAGTTGGCATGCTTTTGGAGTTCCTATACCATTAGAGGAGTATACTGAACTATCTCAAAGGATAGCATGTTATACTGCTGGACTTCCATTAGCACTTACAATTATAGGTTCTCATTTGCGTGAAAGATCCGTGCAAGAGTGGAGTGATAATGCTGAGAAATTAAGAAGAACGCCTCATGATAAAGTTCAAAAGATTCTTAAAATAAGCTATGATGCACTCGATGATGATACTAAGAACATCTTTCTCGATATTGCATTTTTTTTCATTGGGCATAACAAAAACAACACTTCTATAATATTGGAAGCTTGTGGTTTTTATGCTGAAATTGGAATTAAAACTTTGATAGAAAGATGCTTGTTGACAATAGATGGATGTGGAGAGTTCGAAAGGCTTCAAATGCATGATTTAATACGAGATATGGGAAGAGAAATTGTTGAAAAGGAATCTCCACGAGCGCCCGGCAAACAAAGTAGATTGCTTGACCCAAAGGATGTGTTTGATGTTCTTCATGGGAATAAGGTAAAACATTTCCTTTGTATTTGAGTTATTCTAGTTAATTCTTTGGCGTTCTATATTTAACTTTATTAAAATCAAAGATTTCAAAATATCTAAAATCTAAAATATTCTTATATAAATGTTTATTTTTATAGGGCAGAAAAGCAATTGAAGGGATGATTGTAAATTCTAACATGTTAAAGAATGTGCCTTTGAATACTCGAGTATTCAAAAGAATGGTAAATTTACGAATACTCATATTGGATGGTATATGCCTCAACGGATCTTTTAAATATTTATCCAATGAGCTTCGGTTGTTTAGATTACACAATTGCCATTTGAGTTTCATACCATCTAATTTTCGATGTGAGAAACTTGTTGAGTTAGACATGCAAGGTAGCAATATCAAAGAATTCCAATGCAATATGCAGGTTAGTATGTCTAGTGTTTCTTTCAACATTGCATATTTCTTAATTTAGAACATTGACTAGAAAAATAGAAATTGACTAATCCTTTTTCTACTTTTTTTTTTCAACAGCATTTTAGATGCTTGAGGATCTTAAACCTTAATCATTGTGAACAACTTAAGAAAACACCAAATTTCACTGGGGCACATACTCTTCAAAAAGTATCCTTTGATAGGTGTTTAAATTTGGCCATGATACACCCATCAATTGGAAGTTTGGAGAGACTTGTTGAGTTAGATTTCTTTTATTGCAAGAAACTTAAGGTTCTTCCAAGTAGCATTTGCAATTTAAAATCACTTGAAGTTTTAAATTTAAATTATTGCGAAAAACTAAGGGAGCTTCCAATTGACTTGGGAAAATTAAAGCAACTAAGAAATTTATTTGCTTGTAGTACTGCCATCTCACATATACCATTTTCTTTGGGATGTTTAAGAAATCTAAGAGAACTGCGTCTAGGGGACTACATGAGTTCTGTACTGTCAAGAAGAAGTCATGAAGGTGTTGGATTTTTTCCACCTTCACTTGCAAATTTGTGCTCCTTGGTAGTTATTGAGAATTTGACTTCATTGGTATCTATAGATTTATCAGGAAGAAGTTATCTTCAAAGCTTACCCTTCCGCCTTTGTCATCTTTCAAACTTGGAATTTCTCAACTTGAAAGATTTGCAAAATCTTAGAGTACTTGTAGAACTTCCTCCTACTTTGATGAAACTCCAAGCAACAAATTGTGTCTCATTGGAAAAAATAGCAGTTGTATCAAACTTGAAGAAACTTGAAGTGTTGCGTCTTGAAAACTGTGAAAGTTTGGTTGAGCTTCCAAACATGGAGAGTCTTCCATCCTTAATAGAGCTTGACATAAGTAATTGCAATGGAGTAGATCTTGAAAGTTGCTTCCTCGGCCTTTATCATCTTTCAAACTTGAAACTTCTCTACTTGAACAATTTGCAAAATCTTAGAGTACTTGTAGAACTTCCTCCTAGTTTGGAGGAATTCTATGCAAATAATTGCTTCTTATTGGAAAATATAGCAGTTATATCAAACTTGAAGAAACTTCAAGTGTTGGATCTTGAAAACTGTGAAAGCTTGGTTGAGCTTCCAAACATGGATAGTCTGTCATCCTTAGTAAAGCTTGACATAAGGAATTGCAATGAAATAGATCTTAAAAGCTGGTTCCTTGGCCTTTGTCATCTTTCAAAGTTGAGAAGTCTCTACTTGGACAATTTGCAAAATCTTAGAGTACTTGTCGAACTTCCTCCTTGTTTGGAAAAACTCTCTGCAAATAATTGCTTCTCATTGGAAAATATAGCAGTTGTATCAAACTTGAAAAGACTTGAAGTGTTGCGTCTTGAAAACTGTGAAAGTTTGGTTGAGCTTCCAAAAATGGAGAGTCTTTCATCCTTAGTAGAGCTTGACATAAGGAATTGCAATGCTTTGACTATTCGTGACAACTATTTGCATGAAGATGATCTTCCAATTGCTCTTTGGAGTTTGTCCTTATTGAAAGAAATAGATTTAATGGGAAGATATTATCTTCAAAGTTTACCATTAAGCCTTTGCCATCAGTATTCCAATTTGAAGCATCTCTTCTTGGACAATTGGCAGAATCTTAGATCACTTCCACAACTTCCTCCTAATTTGGAGTCACTCTCGGCAATGAATTGTGTCTGTTTAGAAAAGATAGCAGATCTATCCAACTTGAAAAGACTCATAAGGCTAAATATTCTGAACTGCAAAAGATTGGTTAAGCTTTCAGGCTTGGAGAGTCTTGAATCCTTAGTTTCTCTTGGGATAGCAAATTGCAGTCGTTTGAGGATTCCTCCAATTGAAAAGTGGTTCAAGGTTAGTTATATATATATATATATATATGTGTGTGTGTGTGTGTGTGTGTGTGTTCCCTTCAATGCATCTCTGATATTATATTAGAATAGATCGTAATAGTTATGATATTATTAATTGTTATATATTGTATGTATGCATTCCATAATGTAGGCACGTTCTAAAGGTGATAGTGTCGAGATTCTGGTTCAAATGTGGACGGGAACCTGCTGTTTTCCTTTAACGAAAGCACACTTAGATATAATCATGCACAATGTGGTTGATCCCAGTGAAATTGATTATGGTTGTAATGGAATTAGTTTTAGTGTGAGAAGTAAAAGCAGTGGTGCTTGGATTCTAAGGGAGCACAGTCTGCAAAAAAATAGTTCTTATGAGGTTCCAACAATGAAGGGAGAAGTACTGAAGGTGTATGTAGAAGACCATCATTTTCAGAAGAGATTTTGTGTAGCTGAAATACATAGAAACAGAGAAGGGGAAGTGCGTTTTTTTCCATCCACAAGGGGATGGATTCCTTGTGTCATGACCCTGGAAGATGGACAGAGGAAGAGGAAAAGGAAGGTGCAGATAGGTAGAGAAGGCAGAACTATCCGGCAGAGGCGATTATAACCAGAACGGACGTCCCCGTTTCAGTCCTTTGGTATGTTTGTTTGTTACGTTGCTGCCTGCTGGGTTGTTACTTTGATATTCAGCTAGAGAATAATTCTGTTATCTTCTAGTATAAATATAGATCAGAATAGATTGAAATGAAGATTATGCTTAGACCGAATACAATTTGTTCAAATTTTCTCCCAAGTTTCTGCTGTTATCTTCTCCCCTTCTCTGCAAACCTTCTCTTTTTTATCTTCTTCTTAAAATTCTCGGTCCATTACACCTTCCTCAATCCTCAGAGTCACGTTGTTCTATTCTTAGCAACAACCATCTAATCTACAGCTTTTAATTAATTTGCTGCAAAAAGGATTATTATTATATCCGGCCTTCACACTTGACCACACATTTTTAACATCTACATCTTTTATTGTTTATTGAATGGCATTTTAATATATATTAATTATTTATAATTTATGAATGAATTGACTGTAGTATTTGAATTATCACATTTTTTATATTTTATTTATTTTGATTCGAGCATAATTAACTAATTAAAAAGATGACTTAACTTACTTTCATATTTCATCATATCCTATTTTTCATCATATTTTTAGGCTTAAAATTTAGTGATTAGGTTCAAAGAGCTTTTATTTGTTTTTTTTTTTTTTTTTTTTTTTGTCTGTGTACGGGCAGGTACAATTTAATTTGATCAAAGCAATTAAGATCGATTTTTATACCATTTGGATGGAGATGGAGTCAATTGGATGATGGAAACAAAAGGGAGATCAAGAATCCTTATACCAATATAGTAAGGGATTTTGCCAATGAGGTTCTCCTTTTTTCCTGCTCAACCTAATACCTCCAATTTTATTTTCCCCTTCTTTATTTAAATGGAACACTTAAACCGTTTATGGATAGTTATGTTGTGCATCCGTATGCACCATGCAGGCAAAAACAACGTCGTTTTATTAAAAACGTGCATCCTATTTAAAAAAAAAAAAAAAATCAATTTCGATTCCCCTCAACAATATTATTATGTTGTTCATTCATTCTGGAATTTTAGTTCATAGATTCTGGAATTTTAGTTCATAGATTCTGGATTTGTAGTTCATTCATTCTGGAATTTTAGTTCATCGATTATGGAACTTTAGTTCATCGATTTTGAAATTTTAGTTCATAGATTCTGGAATTTTAGTTCATTCATTCTGGAATTTTAGTTCATCCAATTCTGGAATTTTAGTTCATTGATTCTGGAATTTTAGTTCAAATTATGCACAATATAATGTTGCTGCTGGGAATCGAAACTGATTTTTTTTTAAGTGAGACGCGCGTTTTTAATAAAACGACGTCGTTTTTGCATCCATATGCACCATGCATGGTGCATACAGATGCACAGCATAATTTGCCACCGTTTAATGAAAAGCCTATTATATAGGCGATCAAGTGTTTTTAATTTGTTTTTGAGAGTGATTTTGTTTGGGTGTTGTTATTTGCACCACCTTTTAACCAAAAGTGAGTATAAAGCATCTTAAAATGGTAAAAGGGTGAAAAACTTTTAATAATTAATAGGTGGTGTAAATAGCCAAATAGGGATACATTTTGCTATTTACACCACCTGGTCAAACTTCCAATTAATAATTTGGTAATTTAAAATTTAATTAATTAACAACATTAAAAAAAAAATATAAACGTCACCTTCTCCGGTGAGAAGGCAATTGTCTTCTCACCGGTGAAGGCAACTGGGCTGCCTTCTCGGAGAAGGCAGCCCAGTTGCCTTCACCGGTCTCACCGGAGAAGGTGACGTTTAGTTTTTTTTTTTTTTTTTTTTTAATTAATAATTTGATTATATATATATATATATATATATATATATATATATATATATATATATATATATATATATATATATTATATTTCTCAATTCATCAATTTTCGATTATTATTCCTAACATATATATATATATATATATTATATTTCCATTATTATTTAACTTCTATAATTCTCAATTTTCGATTCTTCGCTTCCGCTATATTCCTAACATATATATATATATATATATATATATATATATATATATATATATTAAACTCTCATAAGAGTTACAAAGAAAATATATATATATTCCTATGTCTTACGTGAGAAAGGAACAAAACAAATAAAGAGGATGAATGGATAATGATATATGCATTGATTACAAAGTAAACTAAGCTATTTATACAATGAAAACAAGAGAAAAATGCGGCAATTATGTGGAAGTCCATAGCGCTCGGCAAACGTGCAAGAGAGACATGCATTGAGCAGGCAACGAACGTGGATGGTTGCACGTTGTCTTATTGGATTTGAACCACAAAAAAAATTTATTTCTAACAATCTCCATCTTGGATCAAATTCACTTTGAGAATTAACAACTGGAACAGCCAACTAAACTCAAACACTATTTGAACTTAGCAATAGGAAAAACTTCATAATAGCAGGATGGATCACCATCAACTTCCTATGCGACTGAAAGAGAATAAGCATCCAAGTTGGTTTAATTTCATCATCACTAGCATACCTAGCAGGTTTTTTAATTGTCCTCCTAGGACGATCCATAGCAATGGAATATTCTCGTTGTGGCTCGACGAGAGGTGCGGTGCTAGTAGATGCATCATCTTTAGTATTACCATCAGTGGTAGTAATACTATCAATAGGCCTGAACTCAAACTCCACCTTCTCCCCAGTACTCTGCATCTCACTTGTACTGGGAACTTTTCTAGAAGAAAGTAGTGCATTTTCATCAAAAGTGATATCTCGACTCAGAATGATTTTTCGAGAGTTAGGAGACCATAGGCGATACCATTTTGACTCAGAGGCATAATCAAGGAAAATGCATTTGATAGCTCGAGGGTTTAATTTACCCGTGCTGGAATGAGCATAAGCAGGACATCCAAAAACTCTTAAGATAGAGTAGTCAACAGGATTACCTGACCAAACTTCCTCTGGAATTTTGAAATCAAGAGATGAATGTGGAGATCTATTTACCAAATAGCAAGAAGTAGAAACGGCCTCGGCCCAAAAACGGCCTCGACTGTTCCAGTTGTTAATACCCACAGTGGATTTGATCCAAGGTAGAGATTGTTAGGAAATAATTAATTTTTGTGGCTCAAATCTATGATGACCAACATGAGTCATCATATATCCACGTTGCATGTAGCTTCTTTCGCATTGCGCGTCGTCATTGCACGTCTTCGCCGGAAGTGGTGCCATTCCTCCTACATGCCGCATTTGTCTCCTTTTTCTTAGTATATAAATAACATTGCTCTTTTGCATTTGTAATCACCTCTTACATCAATTCATTTACATTTGAGTTTTTATCCCTCTCCTTACGTAGCATATATATATATATATATATATATATATATATATATATTCTTTCTTATTCTCTTTTAGAGTTTAATATATATATTTTATATTTTCTCAATTCATCAATTTCTTATTTTATCATTTAGATATTTTCTCCTATTATTTAACTTCTATAATTCTCAATTTTCGATTCTTCGCTTTCCTATATTCCTAACAATATAAAATAAATATTAGTCTTTGACTACATTAAATGATGGTGGTGCAAATAATAATTTTTAGCGAGCACCACCTATAAAGTGATTTGACCTATTAAATAGGTGGTGCAAATAGTAAAAGAGGTGGTGTGAATAGAATTTTTCTTTTGTTTCCGATTCAACTGATGGAGGTAACTGTCCAATCAAAAAAGTTAACTTAGTATTGTAGATTGTCATGATTAAAGTGTTTAACTTTTACCCTAATACCTTAAATTAATTTCTCTTTCTAGCAGATGGTTATTTAAAACCAACTATTGCTGCGTCTCTTAGTTATCCCACTATAGTGTCTCTACTGTCTTGGAACTATAAATTTTTCAAATCTTTACATGGTTGTGATGATTACTTACACAGCATGAGTGATGATTTTTGTATATAAATACATTCACATTACAACCTCCTAAAACTACTCTATTCGAATCAGATTCTTCTACTGCGATGGCTGGTCAGTTCATCCTTAGCTTGATTCACAACTCACTCCACAGTGCATTAACAAAGCTATCCGTGTTAGGTTGGTCCGCACATATATGCTGTGTATGAAAACAAAGAAAACAAGGGGGTCAACAGTACAGTATAGAATGTCTTTTCCATGATCAAGAGGTTTGATTCTTTTATATCTTTAGATTGAATTATTTTGCATTTGCTTCTGTTCAATATGCTTCAGTTTAATAACTTTGATTATCATCTAGGGTGTGTTTGTTCATGCTACTATATCAAAGGATCAACTACATAAATGGTCCAATTTCAAGGTGTTTATGGTTTAAATAACTTCATGTGTATTACTAATTACTTGAAGTTCAAAACCACAAGCTTCCAATATTATGGTGTAACCATCGTTATATGATTAAATTTATGCATGATACGATGGTGAAGGAGTACAAGAAAGTTAGTTTTTCTAACAAAGATGTTTCGTTTAAAATATATACTTCATTGGTCCGGAAAGAAGAAATTGATGAGAAGATGCTCATAGGTAGGTATATTATTCAATACAGTTTGTTTATTTATAATCAATCATTTTTCAACACTTAACTGTTTTTATTTTTTTTTTTAGATGTTATTGGAAGGATTATTGAAATATATATATTCATCTGTGGAGAGGGTTGTTGTTGGACAGAATGTGAAACTCATTGATTTTGTATTGGAAGATGTAAAGTGAATGTACTTATGTTATAATACATTTATATTATTTTAAATCTTTTTATAACATGAAAAAAAGTATACATTCTCTATACATTAAAAAAAGTTTTTTCCTTTTTTAGTCAAGATCAGATTCAATGTACTCCTTGGGGAACATGTGGACAAGTTGTTGCCTCTTTATAACTCAATAGCTGAAGGACCAATGGTTGTTTTGCTCCAGTTGTGTAGAGCCAAGGTTTTTGACAATAAATGTTCTTTCTTTCATTATATTTAATTACAAATATTATTGAATTTAATTTTGTAGACATTATTCTTTAACTCTTAATTTGCAGATGGAGATGTGCACATCGCAAGTTCATTTCATGCAACCAAAATCTGGATCAATCACAGATTACCAGATTTTTAAGAGTTTAAGAATAGGTTAAGTTACAAAATACATTCTTTGTGTTCTATTTCTAAAATTTAATCTATTCTGATTTCATTGGCTTAAAATTTTGTTTCCTGTTCCAGTTTGCCATCTGACAGAACACCATTAAGGAGGATAGACTCAAGGTCTAGACTGTCTGCTGAGTTGTAGTCTACTTGTGGGATGTCAATATTGTTTAGGATTGTTATGAAGAAAGAACAAGTAGATTGTCTGCTTTTCTGCATTTGTGGTTTTAGGTTTGTGTAAAGATGCTGGCATTGTGTCAAAACACTGTGGGGAGATGGTATGTGATCTACAGAGCACAAATCAAATTCAGGAGGTTTAAATACTTTGATATTTATTATAGTGGATTATACCTAAGAAATTGATTAATATAATCCGCTGCATATTAATCAATTATTTGGTTTTATTTACAGGATTCTTTTGGCAAGGAAGAATGTGATGATTTTGAACTGATTGGAGTTGTTGAGGGAGGCTCATCAACAAATGTTGGAAGTTCACTCAAGAAGTCTCTAATGGATGAATTTAATCAATCTGAAGTTAACAAAATTCATATTAAGGGTAATTTCATCAATCTGAATATCTGAATATATATATATATATATATATATATATATATATATATATATATATATATATAACAAAATTCTCCTATTTCATTTTCCCGCTCAAACTTAAGGGTAATTTAGTAATATCAATATTATGAATTAATTAGGAATAAAATTAATTAAGAATATTAATATAATGACTTGATTAGGAATATTAATATAATAAATTAATTATGGCAATACCTTAAATAAATAAATACAATTTACTTTTGAAAAATCTTACAAATTTATAATTCTGATAATTTTTCACCTATAAATACATTGAGTTCATGACTAAAAAAAATTAAAGTCTTCATTTTACATTGCATCCCTCTTTTCCCTTGCAGGTGACTCTCTCATCATCAATTTATCAATTTAATCATTGTGGTTCAATAGCTGCTCAAACTAATATGCATATTTCAATGCATTAAAGGTACAATTTCTCTTCTAGCTATTTCTATCTCTGTGAAAAAAAAGAAAGTTATTATTTTTTCATTTACATTCTTTATTATGAATTTTCCAGGTCGATGTCACTCCATACCAACTGTAATTGCTCCGACTAAGCCGATGCAAAAAGGTTTAATTTTTTTAGAAAAGTATTTTTTTCGTGTTATTTTTGTTAGTAATTGATCTTCCATAGTTTTAAATTATTGTTTTATTTTTAATTATTTTTTTAAAAAAAATTTTGTATTATATGTATTTTTTCGTATTATTACTTTGTTTAAAATAATAATTTTGTAATATTGTTTATATATTTTATTTACAGGCATGGTTTTTGTTATTTGTGCGATGCAATGGTTACGGAGTCAGTAGGGGATACTACTCGAGTTCACTATTTTTGGTGAATTTGTAGTTAGTGAGAAGCGAAAGCTGCGGTCGAGAAGGCTAGCGCAAAAAAAGAAAAAAAAATCGATGGCAAGATTGAGAAGAAGGTGGTGGAAAGTGGTTCCTCTTCATCTAATGAAGATACTTAAAGAATTGAAGGCCAGATTAAAATATCTCTATATGTGCATACTTGAAAGTACCATTTAGTGTTTTTTGCTTTTATTGATCTAAACTTGGTTTCTTGTAATTAAATTCTTATAAAAACTAATGTTCTTATATATATATATATATATATATATATATATATATATATATATATATATATATATTTGTTTTTAGAGTATGGATTACTTGTTTCATTCAATGTTTTTTTTAAAATATATTGTGGGTTGTGTTTTAAGTACTGAGTATCTGATGATGTTTTTTATTGTTCTCTTTGTGTTATGCAGGGAGGATTTTATTTACTTTTTATTAATAGAATAGATTACCATATGATTAATATTATTAAAGTAAGAAATTTATATATGACAAATTATTACATATAATTATGGTTATATTTATTTAAAATCTAATGAAATTAAATTTTTATATACTATTAATAAAACTAAAATTCTTCTGTGTACAACAATTGTACATTAAAATAGAGTTAATACCCAAAATGGTCCCTCGACTATGCCATAATTACCAATTTGGTCCTCAACTACCAATCTTACCCAATTAAGTCCTCAACTATGTAATTTTTACTCAATTAAGTCCTCAACTATACAATTCTTACCCAATTTAGTCCTCAACTATACAATTCTTATCCAATTTAGTCCCATGCATTAATTTGACTGTTTGTTGACTGTCAAAAGTTGGGATAAAATTATAATTTTACAAGATTTCTCCTTCATCTCCATTTAGCAGCGCCAAACCATGCAGCAATACACTCCGATCAAATTTCGATCGTCAAAAATTCGTTGGAAATCAAATTCATGGGCTATCCGATGCGTAACCACTACTTCGATACTGACAGGTCTAGAACCCAACAGGAGCTTATTGCTACATGGTTTGGCGCTGCTAAATGAGGAAGAAGGAGAAAACTTGTAAAATTACAACTTTATTTCCACTTTTGACAGTCAATAAACAGTCAAATTGACAAAGGACTAAATTAGATAAAAATTGTATAGTTGAGGACTTAATTGGGTAAGAATAATAGTCGAGGACCAAATTGGTAATTACGACATAGTCGAGGGACTATTTTGAGTATTAACTCATTAAAATATGGTAATACAATTCCTAATATAATATATTCTTTCCTACTTTCCTATTCATACTATAATTCTAGATTAAATTTTATATCAATTATATCGTATGGCATCTATATATTTTTCCTCTTTCTGTTTTTTCTTGTTCTTTTTATTTATTTATTTTAATGCCTAATAATTACCACAAATAATTATTAATAATTGTAAATTTATATTAGGCAATTATATTAATAATTAATTATTAAATCAAGTATAATTTATTTTGTACGATAGACGGATTGTTTTTAATAATTTTGATTTACACTATTTTAGTTTCTATGTTTTTCATATACAAAGCTATAATTGTAAATTTATAATTGTAATACTTTCATAATAATATTGAATAAATATTAACCATATGTTCAGATTTATTATATATTATATTAAAATAATTATATATTAATTTAATATAATGATGGTTAATACGGGTAAATCATATATAAGCATAATCTAATATAGAAAATATTCATTAATAATCATATATAACTTATGAAATAACTAAACTTATTGAAACTTAATTATTTATATATTCACTTTTAATATAAATATATAATTTTAATATCCGAAATTAATAAGATTTTTCTTAATGTGGATCTATATATTTTAAATAATTTTGATTTGATATTTTTATACCTTAATTATAAAAATAATACCTAATATATATATAAACAAAACAAAATCTTCCTATTTTATTTTTTCGCTCAAACTTTTGTAGTCAATTAATTAAATATTCTATTGGTAATACTGTGTACAAAAAATATTAATTAAGTAATAACATAATATCATAATTAGTAATAATATATATGGCATTTTATAATATAATTGGTAATATAATTAATTGGTAATAAACATATTCAGTAAACTGCACGAAATAAGCATATTGATTTTATATTTTAAATTTTAAATTTTACATTTATGTCTTTTGTTTAAATTGAAAGATTTTATGGGTTTACATTCTTTTGAATATTCATTTGTTTTATTCGTTTACCCACACCTGCATGTCCATAGGTGAAATTATAGTATTTAAAACAATATTACAAAAATAATTATTAACTGAAAATAAAAACGACACAGAATTTAGGCCAATTGAAATAGGAAATGACTATTAATAATTGACTGAAAATTAAAAATGTTTTGAAATTGACTCAAATGCATAAAATGAAATAAATATTACTTGATTAAAAAATAAAAACGAAATGAATATTAATACTTGAATATTAATAAATTATTAGAAATATAAAATCTTTATGGAAATTAGGCCAATTGGAAAAGGAAATGAATATTAATACTTGAATATTAATAAATTACTAAAAATTACTGATATAAAATGTATTAATAAAAATGTAAAATGAAGTGTACATCTCAACGTTTAACCGAGATGGAAAGAAATATTAATCTCGGTTATATATTTTATAAAATGTAAAGTTAGGGGAAATAAAAAAAGAACTGTTATTAATAATTAACTAATTAATTAATATATATTAAAAAGAATAAATAACTAAGAATAAAAATGACACGAAATTTAGGCCAATTGAAATAGGAAATGACTATTAATAATTGACTGAAAATGGAAAATACTTCCAAATTGACTCAGTATATAGAAAGAATATTAATCTCGGTTATATATTTTATAAAATATAAAGTTACTGGAAAAAAAAATCTGTATGTATATGTTACTGAAATATAGTTGTGTAAAGATATATATTTAAAAATTGAAAATGATCATTTAGGATCCACAATTTATAAGGAAAATTTTGTAATTAAAGATGGAAATTGTTTTGTAATATGAGATGGAAATATAAGGTTTAGCCGAGATGGAAAGAATATTAATCGATATGAAAATTAATAATTTTTACACCAAATGTTATTTTATAATAAGAATATAAGGATTGTGTAACTATAAGGTTTAGCCGAGTATGTAAAAAAAAAAAAAAAAAAAAGTTTAGCCAAGATGAAAAAAATATTAATCTCGGATATATATTTTATAAAATGTAAATTTACTGAAAATATAAAAAAAAATGTTTGTATATATGTTACTGGAAATATAGTTGTGTAAAGATATATATATTTACAAATGGAAAATTGAATAGAATCGTTTAGTATCCACAATTTATAAGGAAAATTGTGTAATTAAAGATGAAAATGTTCTTGCAATACGTATGAATGATTCAAAAGAAATTAATTATGACTGATTTTGTAGCACATTTTTATTCAAAATTATAGGACCTCATTACAATACGCATATATAAAGATGTAAAATTATGTATAGAATGTGTAAGAAAGATTTTGCTTAAAGATGGAAAACAAATTAGACCAATTGAAAAAAGTAATGAATATAATTCACTCAAAATTAAATATGATCCCCATATATAATTCACTGAACACTGATATTTAAAATATCTAAAGTTTCAGCATTTAATGCGTACATCTACACATTGACTATTAATTTTGGGCAATTATTTGATCGAATTCAAGCAATGATAACATTAGAAAATACAATCGATCCAACTCAATTTATCAATTGCATTATATAATATTCGATGTAATAATTTATATAATATAATTATATATCGATCCAAATATTCTTAAAATATTTTAACAAATCAATTCCGTGCATCGCACGGGGGCAAATACTAGTGTAATAAAATAGGACTAAGTTAAGACAAGTCTTTGAGCTCAAATATAATAGTCAGTGTCCATCAAAACCTCTAGCTAATACAGATGGATAATACACTAGGTCTGGGCCACTTGGACCAGCCCAAGAAAGCAACTGGATTAATAAAGTCCAAGAAAGATATTCAGTACGGAACAATTTAAGAGTTCGCTAAAGATTGAGCTTATTATTTCCAATATAATCAGAATTGAACTAATTATTTCTTATATAATAGAATTAGGTTTTATTATTCCCAATGTAACTAAGACTCCCAATATAAGGTAGTCTATAATTCCTATTCCTTATAGGGCTTTAGGTCCAAAATATGTATAAAGGGAAAATGACACTTTTTCCCCTGAGTTATATACACTTTTTTCCCTTGAATTATTCAGGTAAGCACATTAGCCCCCTCAATTATTCTAAAAGTGGTGGCTTCCCCCCTGATATATTAAATTGACATTTCTACCCTTAAAGTAAACATTTTATTATTTTTCTTCTCTAACAAATTATTGCGTGTACGTATGGATAACCACGGTTCAGTTCGAACTTAACCGGACACTATAGTAATCGAATTAAAATTTTCCGGTTATGATTCAGATCCAGAACCCAATATTTGGATTTCAATTTATTAAAATTATGAATCAAAAAAACTGGATCCTGAACCGTGAACCGGCGGCTCCGGATCCATTTCGCGATTTTGAACCGTCCTTATTTTAAAATTTTATTTTTTATTTTAAAATAGTCTAAATTCAACAATAAATGTGTTTTATTTTTTCAGTTTGAAACATGAACCGGCCGTTCCGGTTCGCGATTTTAATAAACTCTAAATATCGGGTTTCGATTCTAAATTGTAATCGAAATATTTCGATTTGGTTGCTATAGCGTCTATTTGGGTTGAACCAAATTGTCATAATTTTTTAAAGAAGAAAAATAAATGAAATATTTATTTTAAGGGTAAATATGTCCATTTAACATTTCAGGGGAAAAAACAGCCACTTAAATAATTCAGGGGGAAAAGTACTATAAGTATATAACTCAAGGGAAAAAAAGTGTTATTTTCCCTATGTATAAATAGACCCCTCACATAGAGGAAAAGGAGAGAACTTTCAGTATTTACAAAGCCATATTCATTAAT